TGTGAGTATAGTTGCATTAGTTGTACATTCTGAAAATAGAATTACTCTTTTGAAAAATACTTAACTAAAATGTTCTAATATTGATCCTTGTGGTAAACAAGTATTTGAAACCCCTTGGGGGGGGGGAAATTATGTGGTTGTCATAGAATTGTTTACTTTTTACAAGGAGGTAAACAGTTCTCTGATTTTTGTGTTATTTCTAGCAAAGAAAATGCATGGTGGACATTGAAGCTAGACATGAGAATCTTCACACTGAAGTCTCTTGAGTGTAAAATTCATGTTCCCCACACTATTTCCAAGTGTGATACATCTTTTGATTTTCGCTTGGAAAATTAACGTTCAGAAACAAGGCATTCAGATAGTTTCAGGTGCCACCAGTGGTCACATACTGTTTTACCAGCACCTTTCTTTAGCACCTTTCTGAAGGCTCTTGGCATGTACCCTTTCATTGTCCAAGGTGGTGTGGAGCAGTAAATGTGGCATATGTTCAGTCAGTACTAGAGGGTACTTTCAATGATTTACTTTAAACTTTCAGTTCAGTTCTTTCTTGACTTAGGTAATTGCTCAGGGAAAAAGCTATTACCTGATTTTAAACTGCACATTTAACCACTCAGCCACCATAATGCGTATATTTATTTAAAACAAAGCAGCTGCATGGTAATATACTTTTTTCTTGTGTCCTGTTGAACCTGGACTTGTATTTCTGGATTTTTGTAGATGCATGCTGTAACTTTTAGGCTGTCTCATGGCTTAATTTGGAAAGATGTAGATTTTCTTTCATATTTCACAGAGGTCAGTTTTAATGAAATAATTATCTGCTTAAATACAGAACTAACTAGGTTTGAATTGTAGGTCCACACCTTAACAAGTTTTTTCAGTCTTACAGCTTATCTGACTTCCTGTGTCTCCTTTTCGAAAATAGGATGAATAGTCTCTGTTATGCTAGACTGTGTCTCAGAGATCAATGATTTCTGTTTACTTTTGTCTTCCTCAGTACGTAGAACAACATATGCCACACAGTAGGCCTGATGAACATTTGTTAAAATCCAGCAAGATAATACATGTACTGTGCTTAATTCAGTCCCTGGCACAGAGTAACAATAAAATGTGGTGAGGCATTTTTCAGAGCATTATTAAAGCTCTTAAATATTATCAGTTATACTTAAAAGATGACAATTTAAAAAAAAAAAGATGACAATTTTTAAAAATGTCTTTTGCAGAACTGCTGATCTACTACTAAGTCAGTCCTTATTGGTCTCAGATATTACTCCTTATAATGAAATAAAATTTGTTCTCTTTCCATTCAGTCTGCCAGCATAATTTCTGGGCTGACTCATGAGTGTGAAACAAGAAATGGAAATTCACTAAGGTGTGTGTGTGTTTAAACCAAATTGAGATGTAAGATAACTTGTGTCCTTTTAATTTCCTAACAAATGCTCAAAGCTTTCTTTTCTAAAGTTTGTTCTCATTCTAAGAGAAAAAGGCAGTATTTCTTTCAATCAACGGGCCTAAGTAATTATTGAAAAGGAAGCATATCATTTTTCCATTTAATTTTCCATAGAGATTTTTGCAGAAATTTTATGAGTGCTATATGATTTTAAAATGAAAATATTAGAGATCATCTCATTTTGCATAGCACCTCATCTTAACATATGTGGGAAGTGAATATAGAAAAAGAAGTTAAAAAAGAGAGAGCTAAGTTAAGCTGTCTTAACTAGTGGCAAAGGTAAGATATGAAAGATTTGCTTACTTCTGACCAGTTTTGTGTGTCTTCCCTTAGTTAAAATACATACATACATACATACATACATAAATCTAACTCCCCCAATATAGATAGATATATAGTTTAGTCATTTTTTTATTCAAGTTTTTGCAGTGATTACAATGCTGAATTATATAATGCTAAGTTTTTAGCTAACCTGTTGAAAAAATTCTGTACAAAACCTATTCTGATGAAATAAAAGTTAAATTATTTATATCCTCCGTAATAGCAACATGCTAGCAGAATTTGTTAGCTTTATTGGTACATATTGGAGAATTTCTGAAGACTAGTCTACATTTTATTCAGAATGAATATGTGAGAGTATATTTGTTGTTTATACCTTGTAAAACTTCTGAGATGGCTATAAGTCAACCAGTGTAATGAAATTTAAAAAAAAAAAATTTGAATGACTCCTTTTGTGTATTTTAATGTAATATTAATATAAAGAAAGGTCAGATAGCATTGCCAGTTGTTGGCAGGTTTCTCTTATTGTCAAGTCTTTCCTTGTTTTTTTTTTTTTAATGATATTTTCTCTTACCCATTTTTGCTCCTGTCAGCAGGTTAAAATGGCACTAAGTATTTGCTCCCATAAAATGTATTTCATTTTACCCACAGCCATAAATTCTTGAAAGATAAGTGAAATTATGCAGCCTTCAGTCTCCTCAATACACAGCAGTTTGTGTGATTGTTTTAATGCCCAATCATATCACCATACAACTCTTCTGTTGTATAACTTTTAAAAGTTTAAAAGAAAAAAGTCACAACATTCTTGAGGCCACGGTAATCATACACAGCTGTAATGGAGTTTAAAAAAGGTTTTTAGGAATAATTATATCTTCATTATGTTTGAAACATTAAACTTATATCACTGCATTTAAATGCATTGCAAATCTTCTGAACACGTAAACTTTTAGGCCTCTGTGAGGGTCAGAGTGACTAATCAGTCTATGCCATGATGGGCTGTACCTCTTTGCTCAGTGTCAGTCAAAGAAAAATCCTGTCCAGAACAGAGAAGCATGTTAGGGAACTCATTAGGGAAAAATTAGAGCCTCCTTCTTATGCCTGTGTTCAGTTACTTATGCATTTACTTTATTAATTGTAGTGCAGACATGAATCTTACTCATATTCTCTTATACTCCTTTGGAAATATATCAGTGAGGTGAGTGGACTACTTAGCTTTACATTTTAATATATGTTCTGGATATTTGTAGTTTCCATATGGAAATGAAACATTCCACGTGTGATGTATTGAGATGTTCATTCTTCATACTGTGGAGAATCAGTGTCTAAACTTAAAATGGCAGCATTAATTTGGTATATAACATTGTAATGGCCTCCAGTGGCTTACTAGAAGAGGCTTTTTTATACATCAAAATTTTCTATACGTTAAGTGTAGTAAAATTTCTTATCATTTTCTCTGCTCTTGTCACTTGTGGGTCATCACCAGTAAGTTCAGTGTGTGTTGCAGTTAAGGTGTTATGCTGGGGCTAATCTTTGTAAAATGCTGGCATTTGTTCTTCTTTTTCCTATCATCAATCTTTCACACTCATATCAAATCCCTAATGTATCAGCAGGTTTCTCAGAGCTACTGGTTAAAATTACCTTTGCTTTTGGTAAACTCTGAACCTTGGAACCTCACTGTTTTCAGCTGCCCCCTGTGGATTCTGTGAAGCCTCTTTCCACACATTCCTCACTGCCAGTCACTTGCTTCATGTCCTGAAACCAAGAGCCTGTATAGAGCCTCTTCATTATTGCACCTGTCCCTGCCACCCTTGTTTAAATGGAGTGTACAGATATTTGCAACAATTGGTAATCTGTATGCAAACTACAAGTGAAAGTGGCCAGAACTCCCAAATCTAAATAGCTTGTGTTTATTTAGTATAATATTGTAGCCCTAACTCCTAAAAGTTTCCTTTTCTAATGCCACAGATATTGTCAGTTTTATTTATTTTTAAGGTAAATGCTAAATTAATTTCTTAAAGTTTGTCTTCTTTTGTATCTGAGTATGTAAATATTTGTTTGCATTTTTTCACTTTATTTTCATAACTACTTCCCTTTCATCCATTCAGTTATGACTCATAATTAGTAAAAATTCCATTACAAGTAGCCTTTCTTGGGTATGTGGTTTATGGTGTTTTCACTTTTTAACATAATATAGTTTACCTACACAACCATTTCCTAGGTTATGACTGTTCTTACAGAAAACTGACTTTTGCCTTTAAGGGTTCTTGCTATAACTTTTATTATTGGTGTGATTCTTTATACCATCTCTAAAGACTCCTGCATCAATTCTGAATTTAGTCTCATTAGGATTAATAAAGATAATTTCCTTTTCTGCATGGGAATCAGCTTATTTTTAGTTGCTATTGCCTGTAGGAAATAAGATTCCTAAATATTGTTCTCAGACTTTGATTTTCTACTTGATAAAAAGTCTTATACTAAGTAACAGTGATAAAATAAAAGCTGTATGTGTAATTTAAAGATACTCTTTAAAGATTACTTAAATGCTTTCACCTGTCAAAATGCAGTTGCTTTTATTTTAAAGCAACTAATACATTTCTTAAAATGAGGAGAAAACAAGTATTATCTTTTAAAAATCTCAGTATAATAAGAACTGACTCAGAGATCTCAGTGCCTTTTCACATCTATAATTATATAATCTGTATAATCTTTTGTTACAAAAAATCTCCTATTTCTAGTGTGAAAATAACTAAGGCATCAGTGCTAACAATTACATCATTTTTAATATCAGGAACCAGACCCATGTTCTCAGAAATGTTTCTGTAAAAGTTAATAATTATGAAATACTTATTCTTCTAAATTGCCATAAAACTCTATTTGATATAAAATACATTACTTTAAAGTTCAGTTATTTGGGTGATGAGTCCATACTTTTAATAAAGATTGAGTCAATGTGAGTCATTTAGGTAGTAAAGTGATTTCTTATTAGAAATCGTTCTGTTTTTCCCTTAGTTATGTTTCCTAAATTCTCCCTGGATTGTTCAGAGAGGAAAAAATTAAAATTTAAACCACCACACCCTTTTTATTATAACATAGATGATAATGTGCTCCATAAAAATCAAAGAGAAAGGGAAAATTAAAAGTTTTGGTTTTCTAAAAACTCATTATCCTGAACTTAATAATTTTGATGACTTTTTAAATCTAAAATTTTATATCTAATTTCATGCCATGGCTGTACCTTCATTTTTATATTTCTTGTATTTGGTTTATTTTTTAGTGGGTACTCCTTATTACATGTCTCCAGAGAGAATACATGAAAATGGATACAACTTCAAATCTGACATCTGGTCTCTTGGCTGTCTACTGTATGAGGTAGGTAATATTTAAAATCCCTATTTTGATGCATTTTTATATAATTTCCTCTATTTTTAAAGTTTAGACTTTTTAAAAAATATGCTCAAAAATAAGCATTTATATTATGAAGATTAACTCATTGGATTATTAACTTTCATATGGAATTTGATTTGTCCTCACACATTTACTTCCTCTATAATATTTTAAAATTAGGCCCTTTTTTCTGAAATTTTTAAAAAATACTAATTGTTATGTTAAAGTAATGATGTTCTGCATATTTATAAAAGTATAATTTTAACATCAATGAAAAAGCTTCCCTAAAGCATTACGGGAGAGAAGAGGGATAATGAAATTGATATAAAATATGAAATTGTAATTAATATATTTATCAGTGTTTTATTGGACACTTTTCATAGGTGTGATTCATCTTTACAGATAATATACAAATAAGATAATTATTCTAAGTTACCACTTAGTTTCCATTAATAATTTTTATTGGCGAAGCTCTCTTCTGTTCTTAGAAGATAATGGAAACATTTGCCTAGAAACAATTATTTGGACCCACAGAAGAAAGCACAGTGCTAATGAATTTTTACCCATATTATGAATCAGTGATATCAAAGAATATCTTAAGAACTGACTTCTGTAATTTTATCTTTTAAGCAAATGACAAGAAAGAATGTAGATTTTGAGCTAAAGTTATTAACTGAAAATTAATCTAGATATAAGTAGGTTTAAATAAAATGAAGAAATGAAATAGACTCAAATTTTCAGGTCTCTGTGAGGAAATATACAGATGTACAGAAACCAATGTATTTCTTGCTATTTTGTGGCACTTGAATATATAATAAAGTTATCTATTTTAATTGGCCACTATTACTTGGAAGTAGAATATCAGATAGTGGTTTTTTTGTTTGTTTTTTTAAGTTTGTGTTGTGGTCTTTATTGTTTTCCTGATTATAGATTCTGGTTTAAAAAGCCTGAAATTATTTTATTGTACTTTCTAAAGTGAGTAATGAATAAAAGATTTTTAAGTGTTCTTACATAAACTCATCCTGATTTTTATTATGAAAAATTATGAATTAATGATGTAACAAAATGTTTCTATGTAGATACAAGATTATAAATGATTTATGCCCACTATATTACATTCTGCTAATATTTTGGTATAATTTGCGAACAACTGGTTTGATAATATTAAGCTACTATGCCCTTTAAGAGTTATTTTTATATTTAAAAATTTTAATACTGTTTAGGTAATCTTGGATGCTTTCTCAGATTCTTTATCGAAGTAACACTTTTCCTTTAAATACCAAGAAGTGTATGTATGCACAAATAGAAAAATAGTTTTCAGTGAGATTAAATTTAACAGTGAAAACAGTGTTCAGCTGAGTTGCTGTTTTGGGAGAAAGTTTGTATAATTGTTTTAGGATTAGACTCATCAAAACATTTTTTCACTTTCTAAATTTACCTTTAAGCGGCATTATCTCATTTTATGGGTACTTAAAATGATTGCCAAAATAAAATTTCTTCAGGTACTTCTACATTCATGTGTTGTTGATCATTTTGAATGAAAATATTCATCAGGGTAACATCACTCATCCCAGTGCATTTTCTCATTTCCTTCATGCAAGACTGAAATTGTTCTAAAGATTTAATTAATCTTCATGTTTATTTTGTTTCAGTAATGTTTGAATATGTTAATAGAGATAAACAACAATTTAACTACCAAAAAATTGGCAATAACATCACATAGTTCTTTTACACCTGCTCACAAAGAAATATCTATTAGCAGTAGAAGAAGAAAAAGCCTTTTCAAAAAATGTATTTTAAACTCAAAATTAGACTTTCAAATATTCCTGGAACCTAAAAAAAACTAGTGGTACAATTTTAATTGATATGCAACAAAGTAGACTTTACTAATTAAAATCAAGATGCTGTGCTTTTGCTACATGGACCTTTACATGGAAAAGTAGGTTTTACACATTTCCTTTATTGTTCAGCGCAGCAATTGCATCCTTACAGGGTTGTAGGTTGGTGGCTTACAGTTCAAAAAAAAAGAGAGCTGCCACCAGCCCTGAAGACAGACAGTGGGCTTTCGTCCCTTCGACACCCCCAGAATACTAATCAGGAAAGTCAGACCCTGGAGGTCAGGGAGCAAGTCAATCATTCTAGCAATCGTCTCAGTGTGGAGGATCAAATTAGCCTGAAAAATTCAGCTGCTGGGAGGAGAGGGCGAGCAGCTGTCAGGGGCAGCATCGAGATGCACTAATGAACCAGATGAATAGTGCAAAAGCTTGAAAATAAAAACAGGACAGTTGACATTTTTCATCTGTCAAAGCAGGAGATGCATGAAAATATACTATTCCGATTTAACTCCTTAGGGGACATTCAGGTTTTTTTTTTTTTTTTTTTTTTTTAACATTCTACAGTATTGAGACGAAAGTCCTATAATGAACCAGCATATGATAATGAACGAGCGTGCATGGGTGTGTGTGTGTGTGTGTATTTAAGGTTTTACAAACATGGAAAGACTATAATGTATATATAAGTGTATTTTTAAGTCAGTGTTTTTCATACTGTTTTATCATAAAGTGGCTTTGCATTTTGAACAAAAAATATTAATTCCTTCAATAGAAATTTTCTCTTAGGTAGAGTGTTTTGTATGTTTGGGTATTGAAATTGCTTTTTAATTTTTCTCATTATGTGAACCCCGTTCCTACAGTAGTTCTGTATGAATTGAGGCTTTATATCAAATACAGGCTATATACAAATTTGTTGAGCTGCTTTCTAGGCCTGATTTCCAATGTGATCCCTTGCTGGCTAAGGCTCTGAAGGAGTTAAAGCCCTGTCTGGAGCACAGAAGACAGATGAGAGCCATTTTCAGCTTGTCCTGTCCCCACTGACGCTCACTGAGTAGCACAGCATGGACTAGCGTGTTTCACACACACTCTGCCTGTCTGGGGAATGTACACATTGTCCTTCCAAAATCAAACTTATTAGCACATGTAGAAAAGGGTGACTGACTTTGGGGCAGCTTGGCACTCCATGTTGTATTCTTGTTGCTGCGGTTCAAAGATTTAGAAGGTTTTGAACAGGATGTGAACATTTTAAATTGAATTTTAGTTTGTAACCTTGCTTACCATAGTAGTTCCTTGCACTTTAAATGTCAAGTTAGAACCTTGTCTTAAAATAAATTTAAATTCAATAATGTCTTTTTTAGTGTTGTTCATCCTCTGAAGCATGTTTTCGGCTTGAAAACTCTCTGGGATGCCTTCAATTGTTCCTGTGACTCAAAGTTTTTGAACACACAGTGTTTTTGTGACATTATCAAATGAAAATAAGTTACAGTTTATATAAGCTATTTGGGGACAAGTTATAATACTCAAATTAAGACTTTATTTTCAAAATAACCTTCCCTCTCTATTATATTATATAAGATAAAATGGTAGTCCCTTTCTTAAATATCGTTACATTATAATGCAGTAATAGTTTAAATGTTTGTTATGTTGTGACCATTGCATGGTTGATCTGTACCTTGAAATAACTGTTTTGCCATGGATACACCAGTTAATGATGTTTAGAGTTTAAGTTAGTGTACATTGTTTTAGTAATTCTGTTTTATGTTGTGTATACGTATATACAGGAAAATTGCCTATTTTGGGGATTTTAGATGTTGCAAATATAGACATTAAGATTTTTATTCTTAATAACTAGAAAGGAATATTTATAAAAATCAAATGCTCATATTTAAAGCATTTATAATTTCTACACTACTGTGATATATTTGATAAACTCACCATGGAACCTTTTACAGATGGCTGCATTACAGAGTCCTTTCTATGGTGACAAAATGAATTTATACTCACTGTGTAAGAAGATAGAACAGTGTGACTACCCACCTCTTCCTTCAGATCACTATTCAGAGGAAGTAAGTAATTTTCAGTCCATTTGTCTCTTGTTCATTTTGGTAACATTTGTTTTAGTAAGGAATTTCACTTGATCCAGAAATACAAATGAATAGTGTCGGTGACAGAAGTCACATTTTTTACCCTGTTTTATTCTCTTGGAGACTTGCTGTTTAAATAGTTGCCTCTGCAATTTGTAATGTAGAGTTAATACAACACAGTGTGTGGTGTAAAATGGCCACTTCCTAGGCGTGATAAGAATAGTAGCTTTCTATTGGATGAGTACAGAGAAGAGAATGCAAACCCCCCACCTCAAAAACAGGGTCTAATTAATGAGTATGTCTGGTCCCCCCTCTTCATAGGCTAACTCCTTTTTCTCACTGCCTCCGACCTGCAAACAATTAAAACTCTGTTTTGTTATAGTTTTCTCCAATCTGTGTTTCCCACAAATTGAAATACACATCTGTTAGCTATATATCTCTGAACTGTATTTTTCAGGCTTTACCCTTTTTCCTTTGACAATACCTGTACAATCCCCACCTCACTGCTATGGTCAAATTCCTTTGGGAAAGTGGTTTGAAGTTATTGTAGACATGTTAAAAAGAGTGTTGAATGGGATTGAAATTTTTGAAGACATTACCTTAAGATCTGAATTTGAATCCTTTTTTGCCTTTGTAACTCATTAAAATGAGTTGTTTTGCTCTGTCCAATATCCAGTTTTTCACTGAACGAAGTGTCTCCATTTTGGCCTAATACATAATGATTTTTCAAATATTTAAGGTGGAAGCATGCAGACTAGCAGTGTTTAAGGTCAAGGAAGATATGTTCACATAAGCTGTTTTTTGGACTGCCCATTGGAGACCTACCCAAAGAGAGCACTGTCTTACATTAGGACATCTTACCTCATGAGCAACTGATTTTTTTGTCCTTGGAAAATGGAAAGGAGAAAAAGAAAAATATAAAGTAATTATAATGTTCACTTATTAGATAATCTTGTCAGTCTTACTCTTGTGGAATGAACATCTGGTCTTAGTATTATATAAGGAAATTTGAATCCATGTAATCTGAATAATAAATGCCTCTAAAAATTTTTTACCATATATAAAGCATTTGTGTTCCTAGAATGAAATAGCTACATTTTCTTCTAATAGTTTTGATACTAATAATCACTGGTACCTAGTTTTTGGCTTCACAACATTTATATCCGGGTAATTAGAATGAGTTCTTAAAAGGCTGTGATAATTTAGAAGTATTATCTTCATTTGATGTTAATGTTCTTATGTTAGCCATTTTTAATTACTATTTTGGGTATAGAATATAAATATGGCATTTCATAAAACCAACTTCAGAACTGTATGCCTAGAAATACAGTAGGGTGTGAACAATAATGCAAAATGATAGCATGAATGTCAGGGGCCTTTCTTTGTTGTGTCATTCATGCTGTCTTCTTTTTTCCATGAAGCACATGAATATTTCACATATCTGCATCCTCATCCTCTATTCTTCTTGACTAATTTTCAGACTGTCTGAATTTGCATTTCACATGGTAGCTGATTAGGAGATGCGGAATGCAGCAGTGAAGCCTCAGCAGGCGGTTACCATGGTGACCTTCAGCAGGATTTTAATGATGATACCACTAGTGGTTCGTTGAAGTCGGCCTGCCTGCAGGGCTACTTCACTGCAGCTAAGTGTGAAGTTGGATATGCGGATTCTCAGCCAAGGGGCAAATATCAAAGTCTGGCCCAGATAGAAGGTCTTCGAGTTGGGAGAGGAAAATAGATTCCACTTTTTACTTTACTGTGTGTAGTTACCAGTTTTGAGAAGAATTATAAAGCAAAACATGTTATGTGGTATACTTGCCAAAAAAGACAGGGCAATTCCTCATTGGTAAAGTCAGTCATGTCCTAATGAAATAGTAAGTTAGAATATCTAGGTAAACATGAAAAGTAATTCTTGCTAAAGAAATGAATATGAAAAATATGCAAATTATATAAGTCTTAGTTTAATCTGATGAGTTATGTAGGAAATTTTTCAGAACAAGAGCTTTGAAATGCAGATGTGCTAATAAATATTTTTCTTCTTAAGTAGGAACTCAATTTGTTTATAAAATTATTATTCAGAATTCACAGTCATAACAAAGCCTAAATAGTTTTGCTGCTGCCGTAATGATATTCTTAAATATCATTATAAAGTAGCTGCTGCAGGTGTTTTTAAAAATACAAATTACCCTTTAATTTGTTAGTGTGGCACAATATAGGTACTGATGAAAGTGAAACAGTTTTTTAACATTAAACTTTTAAAACCTTGTTTATTAAGTGTCAGTTATATAGCAAAAATGGGAAGAGTCTGAAAAATAAAATTTAAGCAAATTTATTACATAGCTGCTGCTATGGTTTTTTAAGACTCCTTCCTAAAAAACATTTGAAGGGAACATTTCATGAGACTGCCAGCCATACCTGCCAACCAGCCTCAATTGATAAGAATTTTAAGGAACTCTGCAAGATTGATTTCTAGGTCTAATCCAGAGTTTAAAGGTTTGCAGTTTTAAAATTTCTTGTGTTATAGTCTAAATCATAGATAACATGGAGAATTCCAAGAATAAAAAAATGAAAAGTAGTATGCTTTAGAAATGCTTATTGAATTATGTTATGTTGTTAAACACATAGTTAGGGCTCTAGATTAAAATTACAGCTACACATGAATATTAGGAATTTTTTTATTTTGTTGTTTGAGATATTTTTGCTTATGATAATTTTATTTATTTTAGTGTTTCTTATTGTTTTTGTCAGTAATGGTCTCATTCATGGAGTGGGAAAAGTATGCAACAAAAATCTTGGGTTGAAAACACATGCCTACCTTTTCTTACATAACTCCTATTTTAAATGTGATTTTGGTGGTAGTAAAACAAATGCTTACTGAGCATTTTCTACATGTGCGGAGTTAATGATTCTAATAGCTGCTTATGGGATAGCAAGATAGCTCAGCGGACTAAGTGCCTGCTTAGGCAAGTGCAGGGACCGGGCTTCAATCCCTGGCACCACATGCCTTCACCAGCCCTGCCTCCAGGCCATGCTGAGCCAGCCACCAAGCCCAGGAATGGTGGTGCACACCTGTAAACCCAGCTCTGGGAAGGCTGAAACAGGAGGATCAGTACGAGTCTGAATTGCATAGCGAGACCCTTTACCAAATACATTTAAAAAAAAATAGCTGCTCATAGCCTGACCTGAACTTAGCTCTCAAGACTTAATGGTCATGGAAGAAGACAGTATTGTTCTTTTCTAAGTTCTACAGGAAGTTCTCTGTATTTTCATGTTTTCAGAGAAGTTATTTCCAGTTATTTCTGAAATAATTTTTATCATTTGAAACATAGTTTTGTTGCCATGTCTCTCCTTCCAACTACTTGGCCAGAATACTGCATGGTAGTTGCTTCTTTTCCTGAATGTTTTCCACACTGTCATTTCCATCCTGAGAAGCAGTAACTGCTTTTCATCTGTATTTCTGTGGCCTAAAAGATTTTTTTTTTACTCTTTTAGAATATTTTGCTGAGTTTACACACCTATAATATTCAATAATGGAACTTAAAAAAATGGGATATAACTATGAATGTCCATTTTGTATCTGTGTATTCAAAGCGGTTGGGATAGATACATAGTTGCATTCTCTTAATGAATAGAATGATTTTTTCTAATGGTGTTTGTAAGTAGGATCACAAGTCTACATCTTGTACAGCAATTAACCACTAAGAAGAATATATGCAGTGTATTATTTGTTGAAACTGTACTCTCGATTTGATTTGAAACTGTCTCATTGCTATATGTTTATCAATAAAACTTTGAAAAGAAAAAAAATTTAAAAAAAACTAAAAGATTTTTAAAGGCTTGATGGTTGATTAATTGAAGAAATGAGAGTAAAGAAATTTAAAACCAAAATTGTGACCAACCAAAGTCAGTAAATGGGAAAGAGAAATTTCTGCAGAGAACTATCTCATAAGCTAAAAAATTGCTCAAAAGATAAGCCAGAAGATTTGATGGATTTCCTTTCATTAGTATTAATCCCTGTTGTTGTTCTGTTTTCATTCTTTTACATAAGTCTGTACCATCATCTCTGAAATGCCCAATGTTAGTTTAGTGGGAAATACAAAAGATTATTTTCCTTCAGTTTCAGTTTTCAATTTCTTTAAAACACTGGAATGGTCATCAAAATTTTGGATTTTCTTAGGTCATCACTCAGAATCTTAGTGTCAGAAATAGCAAATATGTGATAATTAGAAAATGACAGTGAGTTCATTTTAACTGATATATTCTTACAAATCTGAGCATTATCATACAGAAAAAAAAAAATAAAACTATCTTAAACATTATTAAAACTCCCAGTTAAAATAGAAGGATATGGGAATAGTTGAGTAGAATTGTGCCTGAGTGTTGCTTTTAAAAGATTTTCTTATAGGTTTAAACAGAAAATATACGTATACCATGTTCACACCTAATTATGTTTTTGAGAACTTGATAGGTTTTACAAGTGAAGAAAACAAAATAAGATTTAGAAATCAATAATTAACTGTGATCAGTTTTTATGTTTTTTACATGAAATATCTATTAAATTTGTGGCTTTAGACCTCCAGCCCACAGATAGAGAATATTTTTTATAACATAATTACTGGAACTATGTCTCAGATATAAAATTATATTTTTAAAGTATCAACCTGAAAGATCACATCCAGAGAATAAAAAAATTAATGAAATGAAGTTACCCTTAACTTTGCTTTAATCTTTTTTTTTTTTTTTGCTTTCCTTTTCTAGTTCAGAAATGTCTCCCCCCCTCCCCCTTAGAAATGGGAAGGCAGGAGAACAGGGTTTTTCTTTCCCTCCTGGCCTCCGCAAGAATAGTCGAACAGTTCAGGCTGACATCATTTTCCCTGCTGCTCCATTCAGATGTGTAAGAAAGTGCAACATTTTTTATTACTGAGATAAAGTCTTGGTTTTCCACATTATTTAAAATAGTCATTTTTTTAAAATACAGTGAT